GTTGCAAGCAGATATCCAAAGCTATGGTAAGATTGGTTTCTCCAGCCTGCCTTCACTATGGTCTCAGTGCCAATGCTGCTAAAAACCTTCTTGTTTGACAGAGGTTGAAGGAAAGGGACTGGGCAAGTATAGGAAGACTTTGGAAAAAGGAGTTGGGGGGGGGAGACGTCAGAGGGTTTGTTAACTTGCTTATAATTAAAGCACTATGTTGTTGTGTATAGGTATATAAGCTACTATGTTTCCCCAAAAGTAAGATACTGTCTTATATTTATTTTTCCTCAAGAAGACACGCTCGGGCTTATTTTCAGGGGATGTCTTATTTTTAAGTATGGTACAACCATCTGTTAGGGCTGGGCAACCACGGAAAAATTTGTTTCTTAACTCGATTTGTTTTTTGGGGGGTTTTGCGTTTCGATATTTAAAAGAATTCCGAAATTTTTCTTTAAAAAAGTTCGATATTTACGAAATTTCGTAAAATTGCGAAACAATACGAAACAAATACGAAACGAATACGAATTGATTCGTTAATGGCGGACACGACCGCGCAATACGCTAAAAAACCTCCATATGGGACAGGAGAAACTTTTGAAGCTTCCCTCTCCCTCTGTTGTTGACTGTTGGTGTGATATTTATAATTTTTTTTCACTGATTAAACAAACAACAGCTATAAAACTTGCCCCAGACATGCGGAAATAATAACAAAACGATTTCGAAACGAATACGAAACGAATACGAAGCAATTACGAAACGAATTGAAAAATTCGTTTCATTTTTAAGATGCTCCTGAATGGTTCAATATCGCTTAGTTATCAAAAAAAATAACGAATTTTTAACAAATTACGAAACGAAACCGCCCAGCCCTACCATCTGCATTTATGGGATGATCTCTCTGGGCTCAGTAGCAGACTGTTTGCTGCTGAAGCTTTTCCCCATCCCCTAGTGTTTGTGTGGGGTGAGAGATACCCACAGACTGTTGCTGGTCAGTGCTGGGAAGCAGCAGCTTTACTAGTGTTTGTGGGGGGAGGGGTTAGAGAGACCCACAGACTGTTGCTGGTTGGTGCTGAGGGAAAAGACCCACAGTGCTGAGTAAAACAGCAGCCACAGCCTTACTTCTTCTCCCTGAGGACACACAATACCCTAAAGCAGAGCATCCTGCTCCTCACTTCACTGAGGAGACTTTGACTTTGACTTTCTATGTCTCCCTTTATTCCTCAGCTTGCAGCATGCACAGAATGACCGGGACCTGATGGGGAGCTGACCTTGTTTTTTGTTTCTGTTTTTGTTTGTTATACACAAACATACAATTTTCAAAATTCAGCAGTCAAAATACACGTATTTTTCCCCAATTCCACCACCACCACATCCCCAACATTCCCCCCCTCCCCGTAAACCTCTACCCGTGACTTCTCATTACATAATACAAAGGTACAGGAATACTGTACAGGAGTACCTCATCATATTTGAGCGTTTAATCATTTTCCCCTGGTTACCATTTCATACACAACCATTTGCTTAAGGTTTTCAAAAAGTATTCATTTTATTTTCATCATCCTGTATCTCGTTTTACATCATTTCCCTTCCTTCCCTGCCAGCCCAGGAACAGTTTATTACTCTTGCTATACTTATTACAATTGTTCAATCATGAGGATAGTCTTATTTAAATCCTTATATCTATCTTTCCCCCTTTATTTTGGAAATGAGACCCTTCCATTTTGCCTCCCAGGCCCTTCTGATTTGGCCCGGGAGCTGACCTTGTGTGCTTCATAGCCATGCCTATCACTATATCCTATTTTCGGGGTATGGTTTATATTGTGCAAATGCTTAGAAATCCTGCTATGGATTATTTTATGGGTATGTTTTATTTTCGGGGGGAAAGGGTATACATGAAGAGGCATCATCTTAGCAAGGCCCATGTTTCAAAGTAGATACGGTGCTAATTCTCACTTTTTATTTTTAAATATTGTTTTTCTTTGGGTGACTGAGGAAAAGATGTTACCAACAGTAAGGCCATCCACTTCTATTTTGGAGCAGATGTTTAATTTAAAGTCTCCACATGTGCTTGATACCACATCTTGTACACATGTGTTTCCCAACATCAAAAAAAATTGTCCACAAATTCCCGCCCACCCATTCCTATATTATTTAACAGTGGATTTTCACAGCTTTCAGTTTGATGAGAAACATTGGCATCTGGTCTTATAAAATACAATGTGGAAGGAATTTAGCATTGATAGTTGGTGTTTTAAGGTGAACCGTTTCTGCTTCCTCCAGAGTGTTTGAGCTTTTTCTTTTATTCCTTTCTTGGAATAAAAGAAAAAGTCACTCATTGCTGTGAGTAACTACCTAGCGTGGAGTCTTTGAAAAGTTTCACAATTGGGGTGAAATATTTCTGGATAAGAAACTGTAATTCCTTCTTTTGAGCGGTTGCTATTGGGAATACAGTTCTTTGAAACAGTTGCTTTTGGGAATACCTGAATATCAATCTAGGATTTCATAGGTTAGGTCCATGGTACTATTTGAAGTGTAATCATAGCACTATAATTGCGCAATGTGATTCCTGGTGTCAAAAACCTCTCAAAGCAGCTTAAAATATGCAGAAACCCTTAACTGGTGTAGCAAAACTATTAAATTATAGGTATATAAAACACAATTCCATACTGTTTGCACATTCCTCTTATTCTGAACTATTCTGTTAGTATCCTTAATCTAGTCTGGTTTGTTTATCATGGGAAAAGCAAAAATATACACTCAGTGCTCCAATTCTAATTCCTCTTTTATAGGTTTTGAGATTTCAACAAGTTCTCAATGGAATCGTGCACTAATTTTTCAGCTTGCACAGAACCCTGGCATTCATTAATTGAGATCAAACTCCATAGAGGAAATGCTGCCGTTGAACTGACATACTTTGACCTCACTGACTTCATTCTTTACATAATCTGGGAGGCACCACAGGGATCGTAGAAACTAGTGGATTTCATCCTTGTTGTATTAGTGGTTGAGATGGCTCACATTAGATTTGGACACAGTCCTGTATATCAAGGAGCAATGGTGCAATTATGGAAAGTTTCCTTTCTAATGAAACTTATGTGCTCTGTTATTGGGCTGGCCATAGTATCCAGAGAGGACAACGCCTGCTAGGTGTGCCAGGATTTCTCTATCTGAGAATCTTTCAGGACATTTGATGTCTACTAATGCCCTGTCTTATCATCTATTTCCTAGAAGAAATGCAAAGCAAGGTTGTGTTTGAAAGTCAAGGAGGGATGATGGGATTTGCAATGTAGCAACAGCTGGTGGGCCACAAATTTCATATATTGGCCACAGAGGATGAAATGAAAGAGTGTTTATAATCTGTGCCAATTTTTGCAAAACCTTTAATGCTGAAAGTCGATCTTAATATTTGAAGGTCTTGTGGTTAACAAGTGGTGTGGAGTGGCATACTTTTGGACCTATTAATACCAAAGAGAAGTATCGGAAATGGTAACTTCTTGTGTTTGCTTGCATTGGCAGGTGCGTGGGAGGTAGCATGTGTGAAATGTGAAACTCTGCTAACTCACTTCTTGTGTAGATTTTGCATAGTTTGTACAAAAGTTGTGCATGATGTCGACTAAGCAGGCGCATTCTGTATTAAATGAATACTTGGCATATTTGATGCCAAATTGAATTGGGTCACCTGGGCCATTTATTAAATTTAGCTATAATTTCTGAAGGGCATGGATGTCTTGAAGTGACTTACCAAAAGAAACAAAAAAAATCATGATAAGTTGAAACCAAATGATACAATTGGCAAATAACGTCCTGTAAAAATGAATATACAGATTTGTTCAATTCCTTGTTCTCTATAGTTCTGAACTGTTTTCTCTAATTAATCTGAGTTTTTTTACTCTAAGCATGGCAAAAACAGCAGCTCCTCTACATAGATGCCAGTGAACTATTTCTGTGGAGGTTAGAGGTTTCAATAAGCAACAGCTCATACTCACCTGAGCTTGTCTGGGCTAAACAATTTTTAAAGCTGAAATTCAAAGCTGATTCTTGAAAAATTCTTAGATGGGGGTGCCACTGCTCATGCAGAGTCATCATATATGTGAACTGCAAGGAAACCACAAAAGGAAGTGCTACTTGTGGGAGCAAGCTAGAAGCATTCAACTCTGCCTAGGGGTGGAGGGGTATTTTGTTCTCTTTACTCTGAGAATAAACATGTGGTAGCAAAAAGAGCTATAGCATAAACTAGCAGGATGTTGCCCCATTCTACAACAACAGCTTGCATCTTCCCTTCTATAGGGCCCTTGGTGTTGTCTGCAGACTTGGATAGACAAGTGGCGCACCATTTAGAACTTTCTGCTGCTAACTTTGTTCCCAGTCATTTCCTATTCCAGATTGATATATTTGTATCTCAGTTTGAGGGACATTGCAAAATGCAGGAGAGTTATTTTAAAATGTTGCAAAACTTTGGCACAGTTTTGGAAGGGATTCCTAATTTGGGGATTCATTCATCTTAAAGTTTCTGTTTCAAATTTGTGAGGCATATAAGGTATCAAAAGGGGTGGTGTGGAAAAGTCATCAATTGCACATTGGGAAATCCAGTTTCTGATTGCTACAGAAATTCACTGTGGGTGCCCTTGGGTTGGTTGCTCTCTCTCTCTCAGATCGACTCATTTCACAGTTCAGCTATGCACTGGGTAAAAATAAGGACGGAGATAACTCTTTGTGGTACTTTGAGCTTAAAAAAGAAAGACAGGGGTTTAAGTGTAACTAATGAATGATATTTTTGTGGCCATACTCCAGGACAGAGGGACTTATCGCAGAGATGCACATGTTATGCTCTGCAGACCAGACCTGCACCAAGGAGTCCTTCAATGAGGAGCAGCATTTATACTTAAGCAGATACTGTCTCACTCATCTTTTCTCTACAACTCAAAAAGAAATTTGTGCAGAAGATTGAAGAGATGATGACAGGATTATAAACCAGCTTCTTAATGTTTCATGTATTTCCTCTTCTTCAGAAAGAGTTACGGCCTCGTCTCTGCCAAATGAAGAAAGGCCCCAATGGATATGGGTTCAACCTCCACAGTGACAAAACCAAGCCAGGCCAATACATCCGGGCTGTGGATCCTGGCTCACCTGCTGAAGCCACAGGACTTCTGCCTCAAGACCGTATTATTGAGGTATGAGCTATGGGAAGGGGGAGGCTGCCTTAAGGGACTGACAGTGTGGATGGCCACCTGAGTCAAAAATAGTATAGAAATAGGGCCATTACCCAGAAATATAGCGCTAGAGTGGTGTAGTGGTTTGAGTATTAGACTGTGAGTCTGGAGACTAGGATTTAAATCCCAGCTCAGCCATGGAAAACCACTGGGTGATCTTGGGCAGGTCTCACTCTCTCAGCCTCAGAGGAAAGCAGAGGCATATAGCCATTTTTTCTATAATGTACCAGCCTGTAAGCCTACCCTCAATGGGTGAACTTGGGTCATTCTCAATTTCTATGTGGATTTCCTCACAAGACTGTTGTGAGAATAAAATGGTAGAAGAGGTTGACAATAGGAAAGAAGATCCTATATGCGTGTTCCTTGCTGAACATAAACCTGGGGGCAGAGGCTACTTCAGTTGCTCCCAGAATCTTGGCCCACCAACTAATAACTGAAATGCTGTCCATATAGATCAGTGTTTCTCAACCTGTGGGTCCCCAGATGTATTGGCCTTCAACTCCCAGAAATCCCTAACAGCTGGAAAACTGGCTGGGATTTCTGGGAGTTGTAGGCCAGAACACCTGGGGACCTACAGGTTGAGAACCACTGATCTAGATAGTGGTGAATTATGATCAAATAATGCATCATAAAGCCCTTTGAAGGGCAAGAAGAAAAAGTATTGAATCATGGGCCTTTTGACTGGTAGCACCCCACTTGTAAAAAGCCTACCTAAAGATTTTTTTTAATTCTCCCAGGGAGATTTTTTTGCTTTCAGATATCTGTATTCCTTTTTATTTTATTTTTGCTAGTTTATTTTAATTTCATATGTTCTTTTTAAAATTCTTTCCTACTGGTTTTATCTTAGCATTTTTTACAAGAGGTTGATAGTCATTGGTTGTCCTGTATATTTTATTGCTTTGTTCATAGATTGCTCCAAGAACCTAGATTAATGGGCAGCATAAAGTTGGAATAAGTAATGGAGTGAGAAGCTGTAAATGAAATATGTTTTTCCTAAGCTTTGAGATTCCAGTACAGACCAAACCCTGTTATTGGCTCAGTTTACTAAAAGTCTTGTGAACTGCTGAACTGGGGGAAGACAAATGTATTAGTTGCCCTGGCACCAATTACAGCCAGATCTTTTATGCTGGAGCCATTCAGGGATTAGCAGAGAAGCCAGCAAAACCTCATTAAAATCAGATTTTCCTGAAGTGATTAGCACAGGATTGCACAAGCCAAGCTGCCAGGTGTGTGTGGCTGGAGATGAACATAGGCTGGATTTATAGGCCTGTGCTGGACACGTGATACTTGTGTACAAACGGACAGTATGACTACCTTGGCAAGCTTGGACGCATGTGTAGACCAAAGAGACCGGAAGCCATGTTTATAATGTTATGTTAATCGTGCCTGCCCGTTCTTCTTACTAACCCTTTCCTTGGGCAAAACTAGCAAGCAATAGCTTTGCATGCCATGTGAGAAGGTGACAGCCAGTATTTTACCAATGAGTGTTTACTTGGCATGAAAGGATTCTCCCCATTTGCCATCTTGTCTGTCTCTGCCCTGGTTTACAACTCAGTGGCAGTTAATGTAGGGTCAGGTGGCTTTCCAGAATCTTTCAAGTGAACTTTTCTTGAGCTGCTGGCCAAATACTTTGGATGTAAGATGCCCAGGATTGATTTTGAACTATATGTAAACTTTGATCCAATAGGCCACAATCCTTTCCCATATACAGTAGCTCCTTCAATCTCCTAATCACCTTGGACTAAACTTCTCCTATTGTTTTAATGCAGATCAGGTGTATGGAAGGTAGATTAGGTAATTTGGTGGAGAGCAGTGTTAGCACATCATTAAGCTCTACCAAGTAAGTCTGTTTGAGGTCTGAAAACTGAAAGTTCACCAGGTGAAGCTAAAACAAAATCAGAATCATATTGCAGTTGTAAAGAACCATAATTCACATTGCCACCCACTATTAGTTGTACAACTAGGGCTGATGGGAGCTGCAGTTCAGCAAGATTTGAAGGGTCACACATGTCCTACCCTGGTTTTTAAAAATATGTTCCAATTTCATACCAGATAAAGAAATCTCCTCTGCTTTCTCTTTGAATCAAAATCAAATTTGTTGGCACTTTATGAGGGTGCGTGCTTAGGCTACTGGTAATATGAAAAATGTAATGAGACCATCAGTAAAATTCCAAGTTTAAACAGATCTACTATTCATTATGCCATGAGTAGAGAACCAGGCAACACAACCTTGTTGAACTGCATCATCTTTTGTGTCAAGTGGTCAAGAACTTTGAAGGTTTTGTTCAAAAACACTTGGGGGATCACAGGTCTTGTCCCCCAGCATTAAGACCTCTGTTGGGACTGGTTTGCCGTCTTTCTGTTGTTGCACTCCAAACACATTCTCTTCCAAGCTGTCTGTTGCATTGTGCCAGAAGCTGAGCCCTAAAGATTGGCAACCAGGATGTGGCTTCATGTGCCTCATTAAAATTGTTTTGAGCCAGCTTTTCTGAGAAGCACGGAAACCTCAGACCTGGTGAATAGGAAAGATAAGATAATCTCCAGCAATTTCTGTGGCCACATTCCCTTCTTCCTCAAAACTCTAGGTTGTGGAAGACTGGGATAATCGTTGCACATCAACGCAAACCATGGGTCTAAAGCTTTAGCTATACCAAGAATTTGAAGTTCTGATCAGGATGAGTCATTTAGGTTCTTGGAAAATTTCACAACATTGCAGTGGCATCATCACTTTAGACAAATGTCTATAGTGATGATTCTGAGAGACTCTGAAATTCCTTGGAAAGCTATTGGGAATTTTTCAGTGGGTGAACTAGTAATGGCAGACAGGTTTTCCCAAAAGGCAGCTTCTCATCCGCAGTGCCCTTCCTTAAAAGAAAGTACCCCAATGCTCTGTGCACTAAAACTATGTGCTTTTGGGGTTCTTCAGCAACACTATTTTTGTGGAAAGGGTCTCCTGAAGTTTTCTGTGAGGTGCTGTTTTGAAACCAGTGATCTCAGTCTGGATAGGCAGAATTTAGACATGAATCTTCTGTCGGATGTTTGGCAATGATCAGCAAAGATTTCTAACCTTTAGCTGTTTAACAATAGAAATAATAAAATATCTTCTCATCCTTTCAATAATACTGTTTAGACAAGAAAACAGAGTAAACAGAAGTGGCTTTTTGCATAGAAGGATATGAGCAGTGTATAGTTCTTTATGGAAGAGACAGGGCTTGGCAAAGACACTGTTCGGGAGTGTCAAGTAGTCCAACGGGAGGTAGCCAGATTTCTAACTGGAGCAGGGTACAGGGAGCATACAACTCCTTTGTTACGTCAGCTTCACCAGCTGCTAGTCTGCTACTGAGCACAATTCAAAGTTCACCTATAAAGCCCTAAATGGTTCCAGCCCAGTTTACCTGTCCAAAAGTATCTCTCTCTACGAGCCAACTAGGAGGTTAAGATCGTCTGGGGAGGCTCTGCTCTTGGTCCCACCTCCTTCACAGGTGCGGTTGGTAGGGACAAGAAACAGGGCTTTTTCAGTGGTGGCCCCTTGGCTCTGGAACTCCCTCCCAAATGAAATTAGATCAGCCCCCTCCCTCCTAACCTTCAGGAAAAGGCTAAAGATGTGGATATGGGACCAAGCGTTCAATTAGTAACTCATGAGAATAATGGAATAGTGCAATGACATTTTGGAATGGCCTGGACTACAGTTTTGGGCAACGTGATTTTAATAAGTGTTTTTAAGGTTTGATATGTTTTCAATGATTATTTTAATATGCTTGCTTATTTTTTTATAAATTTATGTTAACGTGACATTGAATCGTTGCCTATATATGTAAGCCGCCCTGAGTCCCCTATGGGGTTGAGAAAGGCAGAGTATAAATAGGGTAAATCAAAGAAAAATAAATAAGGACACTGCAGTGGTCTTCACAGGATGAGTGTGACCCAGGGACAAGAGGTTTCCCCAACACACACACATATACCATCACTGTATCTAGCAGAAGTTGTCATTGCTGAATATTATGTGGGTCAGCTTAGGAAATCTGTCCCAAGGCAATAGCCTTGCTTGGTGCCTTTATCTACTCCTTGGTCTCTACTTAAAACACATTCCTTCTTCCTGACAGGTGAATGGTGTATGCATGGAAGGAAAGCAGCATGCAGATGTGGTTTCAGCCATAAGATCTGGTGGTGATGACACCAAGTTGTTGGTGGTGGATACCCTGACAGATGAATTTTTCAAGAAGTGCAAAGTTATCCCTTCTGAAGCACATCTGAAAGGTGAGGCAGCATCTGTTTGTGACAGGGATTATTCAACATCCATTATTATTATTATATTTTGCCTCAGTTTTGTGATTTATTAATTTGTTAATTTGTTAATTTTTTAATATCTGTTTGTATGTATTTTATTCTGTACAATTTTGCTATGTAAATCGCCTAGAGCATCTCAGATGGAGGGCGATTAATAAGTAATGAAATATGATGATGATGATATATGCTGCTCCATTCCACCTTCCCTCCTCGGGAGCCATGTACTTTACTCCTTGAAATGCAAGAAGGAAACAGATAATTTACACAGCCTGTTCTACTTTATAACTGGCTGTTGGGAAGAAACTGTGGCAAGGAAGCCTTCTCAGTATGGTGCTTCCCTAAGATAAGACAGTTTAGAAAACTTGGATTTAACATCTCCTAAATCCTAATGGGGGAAAAATGCATCTTGAGTTGGGTGGCGTCTTGTATAGAAAAGTAATGCCCCACCCTCACATTTAAATGAATTTGCTAGTGTATTACAGGTGTTCCTATAAACAATTAAGTATGACCTACTTTAAAAGGCAATTACAACCATGCTGAAATAAGATCAATGTGGTTTTGTAGTACAGTATCTTAAAAGGGATAAGTAAACAAAAGGAAGTTTCTGCCACTGGGGAAAAAAGGCAGGACTGTCACCAGGGACATTTTCTTGGTTTCATAAATGCAGTGGGCACTGTCTGTTATGTCTGCAACTGTTTGAGGGCTTGAACACTTGGGAAAGGGCCTCAGAGCTCACACTGAAATGAATAGGCCTCTTAATTGTTAGGAAGGAAGGAAGGAAGGAAGGAAGGAAGGAAGGAAGGAAGGAAGGAAGGAAGGAAGGAAAAGGAAATTTCTCCAATTTTGAATCCAAGGATCCTTTTAACTGGAGATGCTGGTGGTTAAATCTGGGCTCCCTGGTGCTGCATGAGCTCTGTGCCTGCCCCCTCGTAGGTGGTTCCTAACAGGCAAATACTTACTCTAGAATTACCATGTGACCTCCTTTTCCTGGACATGTTCTCTTTTTCAGAGATAAAATTTCTTTTGGGTAGATTTTTCAGATACCTGCCCCTACTTCTCCACCTGTTCACCAATGCCACCTCCACATCATTGGCTCTATTGTAGAGCTCTACTCGGAGAAGGTATGGAGGCTGGTTTAATTGGGTGCTCAGAGGGACTTTTTGAACAGTGGTCAGGGTCTATATGGGAATTGCTATCTCAAACAGCTGGAAGGCCCCCAAATGCCTACCCCTAATTAATGAGAAGATGTCCTAATTTCCCCCAAACTATTTTCACATCATTTGATTTTGGTTCCAGAATGTGGATGTGTTTTCACAGTACCCAAGACAGATACAGCACATTTTTGCATATTCAGATATGATAAGATATGGCATCTGCTGTATCTGTTCTTTCCACGTGCATTAATCTTGTAAATAACATGTAAATGCCTACTGTTCTGTTTGTATTTACCTACTTGGTGTTAATGGCCGAGGAAAGCCCACTATATAATTACAAGATTTTTCTCTCCTGGAGCTGGGGACCCTCTGATCCTGAGCCCGTGGGGTTCTGCAGACAGCCCATCCTCTTCACACCCTTCCTGTTTTTCACTTCTCGTATAGGTTTTTCTCCTAAAGTGAAAGGCTGAAACTCTTTTCCTAAGCTTATTACTGGCAGTAAAAAGCTTAGGTTAAAACATGCTATTGTTTTTGGTCCCTCCCTGTCTTCTATATACTAGCAGAACTTGGCTCTTAAGCTTCCTTTGGATTGAGGTTCCTTACTCTTGTTCTACAGAATATGGGAAATGCTGCTGGAGTGGTTTGTGTGTTAGAACTCTGCAGAGTGACATGGCAAAGACGCTGGAGGAGGAGGAGGAGGAGGAGCTTTGGAATCTCTTAATTAATGTTGTTAACCTTCACATTTCTCACCAAAATAGTCTGGTGGGAGAGATGTAGTTCGCTCTTTCGTGTGTATATTTATTCAGTAACCAGCTCCCCTGGATGAGATAAAGATGCTGTAGTCCTGGAAAAGACCTTCGGGGATTTGCAAGGTAGAGAGATTGTTTTTTTTTTTTTAAGTGAGTATTCCCTCTGATACATAAGTAGGTTTATTCTGCTTTTAGCACTCTTCAATAATAAGAATCATAATTTATTTATAAACTGCCCTCTCTCCCTGAAGGGACTCAGGGCAGTTCAAGCTTCAGTTCTGTGCATGGCCCGTGACTACAAAAGAAAAGTGTCCCATAGAAGTCCTGCTCTGCATAAATAGCATATTCAGAGCAGTGTGTATAAAGTTTAAGAATGGGCAGAGTTTCTGAATTAATCAACTGAGAAAACGCACAGAATTATTTTTTTAAGTTGCAACTTTGGGGTTTCTGAAAATGAAATGTATTAGCTAGGTAAAAAGGAGGGAACAAGTTCTTGCTTGCAAACCCACAGTGTATAGGGCAAGCTTGTAGTCCACACAGCTGCCAAACTGTATTTGAAGGTATGGAAAAAAAGACAAGTTGAGCTAGAGAAGCAGAGGCGGTTGTTTTATATTATTATTATTATTATTATTATTATTATTATTATTATTATTATTATTATTTACCTGCCTCTATCTATGGATGCAGGTAAGGAGCAACAGATTAAATTAAAGCAGATAATGTCTATTAAAACATATAGCACTAGTTAAAAACATGTAACATCATTGAAAAAAAGCGTATTATAGAACAACTTGTGGGATATCTTCTCTGTATAGAAACAAGTTTTTCTAACCAGAAAACAAGCCCCCCCCCCCCAAAGAAATACATGTTTTTCTGTACACAGTAATTTATCTACAGTGTTTCAGGGCATTCAAATATGGGCAGAATACTTTGAAGAATGTTTCTTTTCTCCCATACCAGAAAAAAGCTACCATAATTATTCAACCTCATGGTCAGATGCAAAATGGATAAAAATGTACACCCCTTGTCCAAGAAAGTTTGTGCTATTGTAAATATGTTGGTCTTTAAAGTATCCCAGGATTTTGTTGCTGATGGTATTAGCTTACATCTGTTATTTTTTCTCATGGGATGCTAAACATGAACTTCAGTCCTGCTCAGATATGATCATTAGATACAGATCCAATCTTAGGAAATGGGGCTACAAAGGAGAGTCCACAACACGTGAGTGTGGAGAAGAGCAAACCACAGACCACTTACTACAATGCAGTCTTAACCTTGCCATATTCACAATGGAGGACCTTCTCACAGTGACACCAAAGGCGCTCCAAGTGGCCAGCTTCTGGTTAAAAGAAATCTTGTATAATGCCAAGTTTTAAACTTTGTTTTGAGGATACATTATAGCTGTATCCTCAATTCATTTCTAACATGATAAAAAAGATAGAAAGAGAACCAGAATAAGTCAATGGGGATTTGAAAAAACAGAGAATCATCCAGGGTGGTGTAAAGTTCTGTCTCATTCAAAGCATGAGGGGGGCATGTGTTCTCTCTCTCTTTTTGAATAACAAAAATACAGTCAATGAGTGGCCCAGCTGCCTCTTCCTTTAGCTCTCCTGTATCTTTTATGACTTTTGCAGCTATATCTCAGAATTAGCTAAATAGTATGTGCCAAACCACACTTAAATAGGGGGCTGGCTGCTTCTTTTGAGCACCAATAATGCAATATACAAAAAGGATTGTAGCAGGATGATCCAACCTGCTGCTTGGTTGTTTTTATATTTCCTATTGCAGATCAGTGCTTGCATTGAAACAAACAATGCCACAACAATGTCCATATTTAAGATATGACATATATTTTTAGATGAGGAGATTCACAGTAATATATGGTAATTTGACCTCAATCCAATGCAGAGCTGGCTATGTTTAAGATTTAAACATGTCTTACAGGGCATTGGCTTTAGGTTGTATATGTGTGTTGTGCGCATAAGAGAGTCTGGGGCAAATTTTCATGCCTAGAACCTGATGAGTGCCTCCCCAGGGCATGATTTTTTAAGTGCCTGAAATTTGAATGGGAGGTTCTTTTTGAGTAAGGAGAATGTGTGATCTCATTGGGTGGGAAAATGCAAATCTTTGTGAAAACTGTCAAAAGATAGCAAACTGGTCAACCCATAAATGGGATTAAAGCAAATGAAAGGCAGCAGATTGAATATTAATAAAAATATGAAGACTACCTAGAGTTGGTGAGAAGGGACATTTCCCATAACTTTCATTAATTGTTAACACATCTGTCACTCAACATGTACGGTTGAGGGACAGAATGAAACAGGGTAGAAGGAGGGATCAGATAGGTTTTGCAGAAGCATTTCATTGCAAGGTCTGCAGCTGATCCAGAGGTTGCATGCAACAGTCCTAAGATTTATCTATCACTGTGTGCTTGCATATGTATACATGGAGGACTGGGAGACTAAGTTTCTCTCACAAAATTCCATAAACCAAACACAAATTACCTTGTCTGCTTTTGGCTTTAGAAGTGTGTTTATTTCATGGGATCAGAACCTGGAATACTTTTTGCTACTTCAAAACAGCACTGCTAGTTGTGCCACTCAGTTTGATTGCTGCTGTCTGGCAACAGCCCCCAGCTTTCTGGTCTTGGACAGCAGCCTTCTCTGGCTCATACTGACTCAGTGAACCCTAGACCTTTGGACTTGCAAATAATCATCTTAAACTTTGGCTTGGCTACAGCTTTTTCCATCTAGCACAACCTTTTGCCAAGGCTAGGCATGCGAAGAGTAAAGATTCTCTCTAGAACTGCAGTCCCGAAAAAGAACTGAATTGTGTTGCAATGGTGATGTCACTTCCCCTTTAATATCAAATCTTTGCCATTCTTTTGCCCACCTACAAGACGTAGTAAGGTATCTTCCCCCTTCCCCACATGATGCTATCTCATAGAACTGCATTAAGAAGTGGCCAGAGTATTGTTAAGATGAGTAAAGTCATGACTCAAATCTCCTAAATGTGCACACTCCCATTATTAATATTTTTCACATTTTTAAATACCAGTCTACTACTCAGGGTTGTTGTGAGGATATTATATGGAAATGGGTGAAATAGTGTGGGCTACCCCAAGCTCATTGAAGGAGTGGTGGAATTTTAAAAATGTTGTTAATAACTACGTGGGCAGGAACAACCTTATGGTCCGGTCCTTCCCATCTGATCTCTGCCATCTTGGGTGGTGGAAGGACACCCCAAGGCTGGAGCTGCCTATATAATTTTAATATTCACACCCACACGTCCAGTAAACCAAACGGGACAATGGCACAGAGAAAGCATTTCCATTTGTAGATGGATCCTTATTAAGTTGGGGCAGGAGTGGAAAGCCACAGTGGAAGGAACTCTGTTTCAAGCTGCTGTCATTTATACAAGGGATATGCTAACTAGCACAAAGGTTGTCGGGAAATCCCTTTAGTTGAAATCCTTCCACTAACTGCATGCTTTTTGTTCTGGTTTCCCCCCTCAGGTCCCTTGCCAGAGCCAGTTGCCAATGGTGATGTGGAAAAGGTAAAACTGCTGCCAAATACACATTTATGGGCCTCTTACATTGTGAGAGGGCCACTTTCTCTCTCTATCCAGCCTTTATGTAGGAAATCTACAAAGCAGTGCATGCAGATTCCTGGGTGACTCTTATGTACTCTCAGTGTTTGTTTGCTAGGAGGTTGTAATTGGCTTCCCAAACACATGTACCCAGTAAAGTGTATGAGCCTTGCCCACAGTAATGTTAAGAGCAGCCCTAGGCTGCTTGCCATAGCATTAGTGGGCAGCATTTGCATGGATGCATACACAGGCTCGCATCCTCCAATCCAGTAAGAAAGATCCAGTGCCTTGTCCCCTTTCTGCTCATTGATTATTATTATCATTATTTTTTTTGCTTCAGAGCAGAGCTGACCTCTTGGCTGAGGAGGGGAGGATAAAACCCTTGAAGGCATGTCACTCACTTCAGGGCCTGCCTCTTGTCAACAGGAACAGAGTGGCCCATTCTTCACCCTGTGGGTGGAATCTTGCAGCCAGCCCTGCTTTCCCAAAAGGCCATGTTACTTCCAGTCTGCTTTGAAAAAACAAAACCTAATTAAACACAGAGCAGAAAAGAAGCCTCATTAGAACCTCAAAAGGAGGGCAGGGGGCCGTGAATGTTAAAACATATTAGGGGGACAGAGAGAAGACGTTCCCAGAGAAAAGCTAAACTAAATAGATGCACGCATACCATAACATTTCTTTTTCTGCTCTGATGGCAAGTCAGTTTGGAAAACAAAGTGGTTATTTCACATGAAGTAATAAGCCTGACTTCCATTACAAGTAAATCAGATTTGCTTTCAAATTGTATACACATTTCTCTAGAAACAGAGATAAAACCCTGTTTATATACATTAAGGCAACATCAGTAAAAGACTCTCAAATGTAAACTGTTTGGTATTCCAGTACTTGAGGCAGCATTTCCTTCCTGCCCATTACCAGTGACCCTTGCACCTTTCTTTTTAAACTGTAATGTAAAGTTCACCAATGTCCTAATTTGAGCATATTACCTTGCAGAAGTTGGGCTGGTTAGGTTGTAATACTAAACATTAAAACATAAGGAATTATTGCTTTACTCCTTGGCATGGCAATTTAAATTATTATTAATTTGGCCCTTTATTTTTGGTTAGTCACATAATCCTGGGCAACTTTAATGTTTTAATGTATTTTATAATTCTATTTGAAATGCTCATTTTAATTGTATATTGTTTTTAATGGCATCAAATAGTTGCCTATGTGTAAAGCCGTCTTGAGTTCCCTCCAGGATTGAGAAAGGCAGGGTAGAAATGTCGTAAATAAATAAACTTGTAATAATTATTTGTAGCTATAGTTTATTGATGAGACTGTCTTATTTTTATTAAACATAATTTGATTAGCACTAAATGATTTAAGGCGAGGTAAGCTGCCCCGAGTCCCTATCGGGAGAGGGTGGCGGGGTATAAATAAAGTTTTATTTTATTATTATTATCAAAAATTAAACCATGAGGTTTTGTGGAGGAGAGGACCCCATAAGCCCAGGGGACAATAAGGTCATTGTTGTAACAGTGAGAAATGTCTTAGCATTGCATTTGAAAACAGCCATTGACAATACAATAAACTTTCGACAATACAATAAACAGCCACTGAGTTAGGAATGTAAAGTAGCGGTTTTCCCCATAGGCTGTTTGGGGAGAACATTCATGGGCCTTCGCACAGTATGCAAGGGTGGCTGTTGATGGCTTCCTTAAGGCAATTCCCGGTCCTGCTTATTTGGTTTAGAACTATTAAGTCTCTATAACATATATTTATTCTAGTAAGTTAATGATGCTTTCTATAAAAGGAATCTCTAGTGCAACCATGAAATTTTTATTGTCATTTTACCTTTGATTTGTTAAGCAATCAAAACGTCAATAAAACAATGCTATTCAATGGTCCCTGTTACATATCAGATGTTGAAGCATTCAGCATCTTCAGATTTGAGTGGCTATAGATTCCCTAGAGGCCATCACAATGAGGATGACTGTCAGTTATTCAGCGATAGGCATTCATCTTTTCTCAGTGTCGGAGTAGATTTCAGATGTCTCTCCAACTTAAACTAGGTATTGAATTTTAATTGTATTTGAAATAGCTCTCCTGGCTGCCTGCTAAAAAGAAAAAGGATCACAAATGTGCAGTTGATTGTGTCCAAATACTTAGTTCATGGATTCCCCATAAAACTACTATTTGTGGAAAACATCTAATTGGGTTCTATGTGAAGTATATGACCTTTTTAAAGGGAATTGTTGTTGCACACAAAACTAAAAGTGAAAAGCAAATATCTTAGAAGGATACTTTCTTTCATCTTAATTTTGCACAATTTCTATTCAGTCTAAATGTAGGGTTCTTAAATGGCCAAGGTAGAGAAAATTTCTTCTAGTCTCCTAATATTGCATGATTTTTTTTCACAAAATGAGAATGAGTATTTTTTAAATTGCTCTTAAAGGCAGGAATAGAGGTCAGTTAGCCATCCCTCTGTGCTCTCTTTCCTTAGCTAAACATGCAAATAGAGAAAGAAATGAAATCACACATTTCCTCCCCTCCCTGCCAAGCCAGGAAGCTTGGAGCCGGCTATTTACTATTTCTTTGGCCAAATCTTTAAATTAGTTTCTCCACAACATCGCAGCAAAAGAGGGAAACATCAGGTGTTGACAGTCCAAGTCAAAAGCCATGATAAACCTGGATGTAACTCACTTAATCAGAGGATTGTTCATATGGTCAGGGACTATCCCAACTATTCTTTTGAAAACTCAAATGGTTGGCCATATTCCAGCCAGGGACTTGAAGCATAATTTGCTTCTCAAAGGAAACAGAAAACAGGAGTGTTTTCTTTTATGAATTGTTTTTCTTTACTTCTTGTTAGAGGAGGAGTGCAACTGGTATAATTTTTTTCTCAGGGGTGTAGAGATTTAGCAGAGGCCCAGATCATTGTTTATCAACCAGAGGTCATCCAGCAGATGAAGCAGCTTGGAGCAGGTTTTTCCCAAGCCTCTGTCTGCTTGTTCTTCTTTTGGGAAGAGGCAGGCAAGTAGTCAGTCGATAGGGTCTTTATTCATACCTTGTGAGCATGTGAGAAGGAGGAAAAGTCCTTTGATTCTTCCAGGTGGGTTTCCTTCATCTCAGTGGTTTATTATGAGTTCTTCCCTGGCTGCCTTTTGTGGTCGCTGTTGTGTTCTGGAGAACGCTGCCAGATGGACTGCCACTCTGGCATCTTTCCCAAATACCAGAACTGCACCAATTGCTGTCCTAAAAAAAAAGCAAGCCATGTTCATGGATAATAGAGGGTGGGGAAATTCAGCTGTGTGTCCATCCACTCACTATACATTGTGTGTAGGTCTGCGGACATGTGCCCTGCCCTTTCTCTGGACCTTCCTGCTCCCTGAAAGTATAAAGGAGTAGCTTCTGGAGCTTTTACAGGGTGAAAATGCTTAAAATCTAATGAGAAGGCTAGATAATTGTTCCTCCTCCCATTGTTTAAAAAGAAGCATTGCACAGTGGCCAGGTATTTGCTACTGTTTACTTAATATTAATGGATAATGTGGTTGTGATCTATTTGGGTGCTCATTACAGTTTATATCAGAGTGGAAATATAACTATATGCTTCGACCTCTGCTTTTTCCCCCCATTACTGTGACTCTGGGATGCACAGTGGATCTTCAAATAACATTATCCTCGGAACCATTTTGGAAGGGATGTCTGAAGCACAACGTGGTGCCTTAATTGAATGTTAAAAGCAGGGTAGGAAAAAGAGACAGAAATACTCCCTTTGACAAATAATTAAACAATCTCCCACCTGAAAGTCCTTCTCAGCTTGAGTATCTGTACCTGTTGCGATCTTCAAAATGATTGTTCCCATTCGTTGGCCAGAGCCCCCCGTGAACTTGCTTGCCGAAAGGTTGCAGGTTCAAATCCAGGGAGTGACATGAGCTTCCACTGTTAGCCCCAGCTTCTGCCAACCTAGCAGTTTGAAAACATGCAAATGTGAGTAGATCAATACGTACCGTTCCGGCATGAAGATAATGGTGCTCCATGTAGTCATGCCGGTCACATGACCTTGGAGGTGTCTACCGACAACAGTGGCTCTTCGGCTTACAAATGGAGATGAGCACCAACCCCCAGAGTTGGACACAACTGGACTTAATGTCAGGGGAAAATCTTTACCTTTATTCCTTGGCCTTTCTCAAAACTTTCAGATGTTTGGCTTCATATCAAATGGTCAGTGTTAGTTAGGGTGCAGTGTAGCACCAAGGCTGAGAGACTAAGCTGTGAAACAGCACTAAGAGGAGAAATGTTTTTATAGAAGTATAGAAACTGAATTTTGGAGAATTATTGCCTTCAGTTTCAAGTATTGTGTTATGTACTTTTTTCCCATTCCTCTGATTTTTTTTCCTTTCTCTGATTTTAGGAGAATAATAAAGATGATCATCCAGAACCTGTTCCTGAAAGTCCTTCCAGCCCTGTGCCTGTGTCTGCTTCTCCAACTCTGAGTGAACCTCACAATGAGGTATAAAGACTGCATTGAAGTGGGCACAGCAAGGAGCCAACAAAGATGGGTGGGAGGAGTCCAACATGTGGCATGTGTAAATCAGTACTGGGCAGCAGATCTTTTAAACTGCAAGCCACCATTAGCTGTGCTACCTCAAGCTGCTGCTGAAATGCATCCACAGGACCACTAGGTGTTGGAGCACTATGAGCCCTCTCAAAGCATCTGAAGAAGTCTGTTAAGTCTGCAAAGGCTTATGCTACAATGTCTTTTCTCAAAGATGCTACAAGATCCCTTTGCGTGCTGATATTCCATATCTTCTAATTATACAGCTTCGCTGGGTTTGAAACTTTCTTAGAAGTAAACTGAATTTTAACATAAACTAGTAACGGTAGGTTCAAACTTGTCTGGCACAAAGAGCAAGTGATTATTAGTCAAATACTCTTGCTGGGCTGTGGGAAAAGCTCAAGGCAAAACTCCATGTTACATTATTCATGTTTTTTTAAGTATACTTAATGCTGCTGCTCTTTCACCAGGAATAAAAATAACCATTCAGGGCTATTTTGCTGTGCTGTATCCTTTTCTTCATCTCCCTCCCTGTTTCCAGCCCAGATTTTGCAGACAGTCTGTAAAGGCTCAAGCATTCCAGGAGGAAGCAATTATGCAAAATGAAGGGCATTGTTTATGTAACTTATTAACACTAGTCATATGTCCTTGACATAATTTGGATGGTCTCCTTGGGGCTTCACACCAAGTGTATCCAGGCCTGGTAACAAGTGTTCCAGCTGGTGCTTTTGTGGAACTGCCCTATGAGTCTCCGGTTAGTAGATGGAAACAGAAGGGGGAATTGCTATGACCTCAAATATACACTCTGCACATCTGTACAGGGTTTCCTGAGTTACATTCCATGAGACAGTCAAGCCACCAGTGAGTTTAGTTTTGGGTGTGTATTTCTTATTTCTTTTTCACAGTGATCATACACATGCGGAGGCCTTGAAAATTAAGAGTGGGATCAAAGTGGGGTTTTCTGGATTATGGATCCTTTGTTACCAAAAAAAGAGAAGGAAAATGTTCTTGAAAAGGTTGGAGTATCCCACAAAATCAATATGCAGAGGGATCTTGTAGCTACTTAGAGACTAAGTGAATGAACAAAAGTATTAGCATAAGCTTTCATAGATGCATCTTGCTTCCTCAGATGTATTATCCCAGATTAACATGACTGTGTCTATGGTGCAGAATAAGTATATGTATGTGTGATTCTGCTTGGCAGCTGTATTTATTTGCCTTTCATCTCTCTGTGTTTTCTCTCACTTGTGATTTTAAGATTATTACCAATGTTCCTATATCTTTTAGAGACTTGGGAGGGAAAAATAGAAATGGGGGATAGAAAGTAGTTTGGAACCGGCAGGACAAAATAAGGGATGGCCTGTATTTCATAGTGTGTCAACTTCATGTATTATCATTGTTGTTGCTGTGGTTGTTATTCGGTTTATACTTCATTCGTCTTCATTAGCATTCATGATTACTAATACTTATGCGTAAAACCACTGCCAATATTTAAAAATTCTAGTATTGAAAACTATTTCTAAAATCAAAAATTACAACTATCTCATAATGTAGAATAAAAACTATTCAGAAGGAAAGCAATTACAAAATTAAACATTTGGGCTGTGATCCAATTTACCTGTGGTAGATTGCTAAGCTCTGATGGCATAGTTCCAAATAGGATCACCTATGCAGTGTGATGGGCAATGCCAATCTCTGGTATTGGCTCGTATGTGGGTGAAGCTAGGCCTGTTGTATTGACCTGCTTCTTTAAAGTGGTGGGTATCACTTGTATAAGGAGTTGTTGGATATGTCTGTTTGAGCATTTGTTTTCGTGACATTCACCCACAATCAAAGTAAATTTTGCACAGTCACTAGGCACAGGTCTCAGTCATCCCCTTAAAGATTTATATTTTAAAAAAGAAAGCCCAGACATTGAATGGAAAGTAAATAAATGACAAATAAATATAAATAAATAAAACTTTATTTGTATTCCACCCTATCTCCCCGAGGGGACTCAGGGCGGATTCCAACATAACAGTGTCAAACATTCAATGCCTACATAAGTAGCTTGTATCTTAGCCTTGTGTCATGCAGGAAGGTATGTGAGCAAATGGGACTTAAACAGGATAGAAGGGCTCCATGTTGGCTCTGTGCTTTACATTGTCTGTACTCTCCCTCTCACCCCTGCAGCTCAACTCTCAAGAGAAAGAAGAGAAAAGCAGCCCTGTTGCTGATCCTGTTCTCGACCTGGACATCCCACTGGCAGTAGCTAAGGAGCGTGCCCACCAGAAACGCACCAGTAAAAGGGCACCACAGATGGACTGGAGCAAGAAAAATGAACTCTTCAGCAACCTCTGAGGCACCCCCATCCTCAAGCAGGGAAAAGATGCAAAGGCAATAGAATAATCTGGCCAGATCTTCCTTGGCTTGCTTTTGTGTCTGCATTTTCCCTGCGAAGGTGCTTCTCAGCCTCCTCCACTTTCCCCTCTTAGTTTGGGGGATGGGGAGGCAAGATCTTTCTTGTGTCCTGTGAAAGAAAAGAAATGACCTGATGACTACTTCTGCACAGTTCTGGAGAAGTGATGATATTTTAACAGAGAACGACGAGACATTCTTTCCACACCATCTGCTAGTAGCTTAATAGGTTTCCTATGAGTTTGTGTTGAGGGTGAGGGGATTGGTTGATCTTCCAAGTCTGAAAATAGTGTGGTCATCTTGTCTTACAAGTCCCATGATGTAGGTTGCTGCTGCTGCCCCAGTGAACGTATCTCTCTTCCACCTCCTCCTCATTCCCCCAAATTAAGTCATTTTTAGTGAAATCATACATCCAAGGGCATTGACTCTTAGAGCACCTGAACCTTGACGCCATCAATGCGTGTGGGCTCTCAGCTGCCTCAACCTCAGAGAGGTTCTACTGGATGTTGAATGGGCTGTTGTGAAGTAACTCATTTAAAACGTGTAAACTTAGGTTAAAAGGAAGTTCTCCAGAATTCTAATTTGATTACCAAATATCCTTTTGTGAACAAATGCCCTGTCTTTACCTCTCTATAGAGAGCCACTTCCTTCTAACTGGAGATCTCTCTCATCCTTTCACTCCACTGCCCCACCTTTTAAATGTATTTTTTCCTAGTTTACAAGTGATAGTGAAGTGTTCACGGGGAACAGCAGGACCCCTAGACTTTCTTGCACTGCCTTCTGTGTGATTTGAGGCCTTTGCAGGGTCAAGAGATTGTTCAGGTGCAAAGTCTATGCTATATGTCTGTCTGGGCCAGAAACAAGGTGGAGGGGGATTCAGACCTTATTTCAGCAGCTGAAAGCAGCCAAGAATAATGTTCTATGTTCAATTTATTTGTGGAGATGAATGGAGCTGATCAGGGTTTTCAGTAATAATGCTTAATTAACAGTTTATCTCTAAACTGTTCATCTTCGGAATTTCCCTGCCCCGTTATAGCTCTTCTCCCATGTCTGTGTATGTCATGGAAATAATTCCTTCTCCAAGATCCTTTTTTCCCTCCCTTGTTTAATGTTTGTAATGTCCATTTCAAGAGAAGAAAATCTGTATAATGGAAGGAAAAAAAGCTACCTTGCTTTTGTGTGTTGATTTGAAATTACTCACTTTTGGTAACAACCAACGTTTGTACAAAATCTCAGCTCAACATGTGACCAAGCAATCCCTCCTAGTTGCATGGATAACAACAATTCTTTATTGTAGTCCAAGGACCCAGCAAGTCCACATTCACTACATAGAACAAAACATTATAGATACATTAAGAGCACAGGAAACGATTGGTGAAATCATACAAGCAGAGCTTATTTCAGATATTTTCTCCACTACACAAGTTAACTGTTCTCTAATCCTTACTGCCTCAGTAAAATACTTCACAACAGCCAAAATTCACTCTGGGATTTCTATTTTCTTAAAAGAATTTGACATAACATTGCGACAATGTTCCTCATAGATTCACCATTAAAGGAATTAATCATGTTATCGATCCTGCTTATAGAATCCACAAAAGAATGTGCTTCAGAATTCTACTTCCTGGTGACATCAGGAGATTTACCGAGGAGCATTGCAGAGGGAAAAGCATTAAATTTGTCTTTTGTAAAATGTCTGCAACAATATACACAGCTAGATGAAAAACCCTGACATATTCAGTACTCTGTGAGCTCAGTAAGCAGGATGATTATGAATGAACCCAAGGGTTACAGAACACAACATCCCACAGTCATTATTTTACTGTTTTGGGATCAGGGTCATAAGGTAAAGGTTTCACATGGCATGTTTAGTCATGGCCAACTTGGGGGTGGTGCTCATCTCCATTTTTAAGCTGAAGAGCTGGCATTGTCCATAGACATTTCCAATGTCATGTGTCCAGCATGACTTCATGGAGCGCTGTTACCTTACCACCGAAGTGGTACATATTAATCTACATAAATTTGCATGTTTTTGAACTGCTAGATCGGCAGAAGCTGGTGCAAACAATGGGAGCTCACCCCGCTCCCCGGATTCAAACCACCAACATTTTGGTCAGCAAGTTCAACAGCTCAGTGGTTCAACCCACTGTGCCACTAGGGTGCATAGCCCAGATGTAAAAAGAGATGAAAGAACAGTTTCCCAAAATTAATTTTTAGATAATTTCATCAACAATAATTTAAAAGCATCCTTAGTAGATAGTTTAGCCCAAGTCTAGAACTTGAATGGATAGTTTAATCAGCAGCCTAGAGTAGAATGGGACTCCTGTCTCCAAGATTGGGCAAATGAACATTGAGGTCCACCGAGGCATCAAAAAGATTGTACGAAGTTGGCACAAGAATACAGCTCTTTCTGACTCCTCTGGACACAACTATTTCTCTGGAAAGCTACCTCTGGATGTCACATCTATTTGTAGCTTGCTATTACTATACAACATTAATAGGGGTGGAATAGTATTTTATTAATCAAATCATTATACAACTTCTTCCACAACTTAATTCTGGAGACCTGACTTTAGCCTATAAAAGCAACAAACAGCTTCCCTTGCAGAGATCTAGATTTATTTTTAGCAAGGTGAGACAGGTCCAAACAATGGAAATCACTGCCTCAGAATGTGGTAGAGGCTTCTACTTTGGAGGCTTTTAAACAAGGCTGGATGGCCATCTGTCAGGGGTACTTTGGTTGTGCTTTTCATGCATGGCGGAGGTTTGACTGGCTGCCTATGTGGTCTCTTCCAACTCTTAAGATGCTAGGATTCCTCTCTGAATGCAGCTGTGCCTCAGTAAGAATGTTACTATAATTACAAAAGAAATCCTATTACACAGGAAATGAGTATATAACTTTCCCATTCATGATAGCCATACAATAGGTCTGTAATTCCCAGCATCAGTGGCTTGCCCTTTCTTACAGACTGGCACCACATTTGCTTGCTTCCAATTGGTAGAGATGTTGCTAGAAATACTAATCTTGGTAAAGAGAACAGCCAGTAATGGTGCCCACCAATGTTGGTTGGCTTTAATAAGTTCAAGGATTTGATTAGTATTTGGAGACTTTCCACTTTTAAGCTGTACAAGTCACAAATTTATTCCCCAAATATCAGGTTTTAAGCAGGAACAAACAAAAGTATAGCTTCATATAAATGACGGGTTCAAAGCAATATCTGTAAAGATTAATCTAAAGTCACCCTCCCAGACTGGAGTTGTAATAACACATGTTGGGCTTGAGATAAAGTTCGTGGTATAAAGAATATGCAGTCCTATTGACTCATAAACAGTGTTCGTATTCATGGTCACTGTTGCTGAATTCCTCACTTAATAATGATATAAAAGCTTAAATTATGTCCATACCGTCATTGTTAATGAGCCAATAGGATCTTATACTCATTTTTTCAGGTGAAATAATGTAAGGTGATATGTCTAAATGTTCTATATGCAATATAGAAGCCTCTTACTTTTTCCCAATGCCATTCTTCAAACCAGACCATACCCTTGAGATTGGCAGGGTCTCCAATCTCAAGGGTATTTAGCTACATATGGTACATCTTTTTGAAAAAGATGGATCAAATCTTCATATGCCTCAATGGTAGTTAGGGCAAGTTTTTTTCGGGTATTATTAGAGAAACTGCTGAACTATTTAGATCTTTTCTTTTGTGGCTTATTAGATGATTTGGGGTTAACTCTATCTCCCTGGAACAAGTATGGTAAGAGCTAAAGACTGCTGGTCACTGTTTGTTCTGATGTTTATGCGAAAAAGAATAAATGAAAACCATTTTAAAATCCAAACAATAGTCCACATAAGTCACCAGAATGGAAATAGACAAAGCCCAGAGGGAAGCCAAGTTCTCAAAATGCTTCTGTTGTGTCTTCTCACTTTTTTCCAGCATGCCAAACTCTTTTATCAGTCTGCCCCAGGCAAAGCAATTCTGAACTTTTTCCAAAACGTGTTAGGCATTTTAATTAATAAACACTGGTACCTTGGGAATGTTGTTTTTCTCTTGGCTTTGTGTGGTGAGAGCAGAACTGCCCCTTTTTGTGATAGTTTTCACTAATATTTTGAAGCCTTGGAAATCTCAGAATCTGTATAATGGCCAAGTAGCAACAGTAAGAACATACCACAGAACAACAGACTGGTTCAAGATTGGGAACGGAGTAGGGTAGGGCTGTATACTCTCATCCTACCTATTTAACTTGTATGCAGAACACATCATGTGATGTGTGGGGCTTGACAAATCCAAGGCTGGAGTTAAAATTGCTAGATGAAACATTAACTACTTGAGATATGCAGATGATACCACTTTGATGGCTGAAAGGGAGGAGAAGCAGAGGAGCCTTATAGCCAAGGTGAAAGAAGAAAGTGCAAAAGCTGAGTTGCGGTTAAACATTAAAAAAAAAAAACAATATTATGGCAATCACAGTGATTGATAATTAGATGGAGAAAACATGGAGACAGTGACCAACTTTGTATTTCTAGTTGCGAAGATTACTGCAGACGCAGATTGCAGACAGGAAATCAGAAGATGTTTACTTCTTGGGAGGAGAGCAATGACCAATCTCGATAAAACGGTTAAAAGTAAAACATCACACAGGCAATGAAGATCCACATAGTTAAAAGTAATTGTATTCCCTTTAGTAGAGGCCAAGATGAAGTAATTTGGCCACATTATGAGAAGAAAGGAAAGCTTAGAGAAGACAATTATGCTGGGGAAAATGGAAGGAAAAAGGAAGAGGGGCCGACCAAGGGCAAGATGGATGGATGGTATCCTTGAAGTGACTAAATTGACCTTGAAGCAGCTGGGGGTGGTGACTTTATGGGCTGGTCCATAAAGTCACGAAGAGTCGGAAACAACTGAACGAATGAACAACAACAAATTCCCTTTAGTAACCTATGGATGCGAGAGCTGGACCATAAGGAAGACTGAGCAAAGGAAGATTGCTCAGTCAACTTTTATGAACTGTGGTGCTGGAGGAAAATTCTGAGAGTGCCTTGGATCTCAAGAAGATTAAACCTGACCATACTCCAGGAAATAATGCCCGATTGCTCACTGAAGGGAAGAATATTACAGGCAAAGATGAAGTACTTTGGCCACATCATGAGAAAACAGGAAAACTTAGAGAAGAGAATGATGCTGGGGAAAATGGAAGGAAAAAGGAAGAGGGGCCAACCAAGGACAAGATAGATGTATGTTATCCTTGGAGTGACTGGCTTGACCTTGAAGGAGCTGGCGGTGGCCACAGCTGACAGGGAGTTATGGTGTGGACAAGGAGCTCTGGCATTGGTTGGTCCATGAGGTCACAAAGTCGGAAGCGATTGAACTAATAAACAACAATCAAAAATCTCAGAAAACCACTTGTGGCGAGATGAAGCTCTTGTCTTTACTTCCTTTTTTCTCTGTGTGTGTCTGCACTTGGAGTTGGGGAGAGGCTAGAGATGGGAATGTACAGATGTGTGGCTAGAAGAGAGAATTTCCATCCAGGTCAACAGGTACATCAGAGATTGTCTTGTGCTTTGTAGACTAAAGTAGCCAAGGGAAATGTAAGAGTTGCTTGAACACCCCTGTTCATTGTATTGTATTGCTGGGAAAGGAACTGAACATATAAAACAAGTTGTTTAAGTAATCCTTTCTGGTTCCAGAAAAGATGGAGCATCTCATGCAGAATGGCTTGAATGAGGGGTGGGAGGGGACCCTGTAGCCTTTCAGAGGCTGTGGAACATCAACTTTTATCTAGAAAGCCTCCAGCTCCTGACCCCTGACTAGAAAAAGAAGAAATCACAAGAGTCAAAATATGTGTGCACACATACAAACCCATGCACACCTTCAAGTCACTTGTTTACTTAAGGTGACCCCATGATTTTCATAGAGTATTTATAGAAAAGGAATTCTCAGAAATGATTTTGCAAATTCCTTTCTAAGAATCTGATGTTCATTGGATGTCTCCTGCCCAAGTACTAGCAAGGTCTGACCCAGTTTACCTTCAAAGATCAGATGTAATATGGAGCCATGAGTATTTCCCCTACACAGTTACAAAAACATGCATGCTATAATATAATGAATATTATCATTATCTGTATTTATACAGGTTTTATAATATATTAACATGTTGCTGTTACTATATTAACATTGACAATGGTAATGTTAAGACATGCCATCTTGCTAGCTTTCTTTAACAATCCTTTCTGAGTCTTTTTTATAGCCCACATGAAGTCTCATTCACCATTCTTCTTTGAATGCAGGATCAGGGGAAAATATGTAACTGCCTATCTGCCATGCCCCCCAATTGTCACATTCTTTCAGAACTGAAAAATGAGAATTTCCTACTCATGTGCGTGCTTTCCCTCTGATCAAAATCCCCAATTTTCTAGGTCCTGTAGAAAGCTTCACTCAGTCTTCTCATGGACTGGAATTGCTCCTCTTCAACCCTAGAGGAAACTAGCCACACTCTGTATTCCCGTGTTCAAGAAAACAGAACACCTTGCCAGGACTCTCCCGTAAGTCTGCATCAGGGACCCATTCACACTGCACAGTTAGAGTATTTTTACTCCACTTTCTACCACAGTCCCATCCTATCTTTGGTCAGTGGCACTGGAAGATTGGCCGAGGACTTTAAATATGCTACTGTTCAGTTCCATTCAGTCATTATGGCAAACTTAATGTGAACCTATCAGAGGGTTCTCTGGTTCATGAAGAGTGTGACATGCCCAAGTATTTCCATGGGCAAGTGTGGAATCAAACCCTGGTCTCCAAAGTTGTAGTCCAACATTCAAACCAGTACATCATGATGGTTGTACTACGTATCCAAGAACTGAACCATGGTTCTTAAAGTAGAATAATAGTGTTATATCTGTGTCATATGACACCAAAGAACAAACAGTATTCCAGATAATGAAAGTCATAAAGTGGTTTCTCACGAAGCTGGTTATAAATTCAGCCCTTTTATCTTCTTTTGCTTCCCTGGAAAGGATGATGACACCCACACACATATATATCAGGAAACTGACTTCCCCACAGTGAATTGATTGTATTTCTTTATGCCTCAGCTGGAGGTGATGGCTGACTCTTACTACATTCATTTATTTCTTTTCATAGTAATGCCATGATTTATTTGTCATGTTTCTGTGCCGTATTCAATTAAAAATTCCCAGGGGTCATAGAACATCATAAAACACCAGCACAGAATAAAATGGTTGACAATAGTAAAAGATGGCACTAAAAACAATTGCACCAGAAATACAAACTGCCTTGGACAGTGAGTGCCAGAGGAGGGAACACCTTTACCTGAATTACATTGATTTATGTGGCAAGTAAGACTCTCAGGGTGGGATAGGGAGTTTTTTGCAAGAGAGTAGCAAAACCAAAAGGTCACTCTCCTTTGTCATCTGGAAGAAGACCTCTGCATATGACCAATGTATTCATTTGGAGGCAATGGGTCCTCTCCACAAGCTCCCCTTGTCCCAAGCTTGTCAGGACTTTGGAGGTATGGGCCAGCGTGCTCAATGTTACCGTAAAATGGACTGGGGCCCACAGAGCTTTTGAGGGATATTTCCAGTATCCTATTCCGATTAGTAGCCTAATTTGGGTATTGGTTACTATTAGCAGGCTGTTTTCAAAATCAGTCCTGTTAAAAAAAGTACTGCTGTGGTCTTGTCTGGAGGTTGCCAAGACATGGACAACTGCAGTAGACTAAAGCTGGTTTGCTCCCTGTTGACCATGGCAGTGGAAATTTACTTTGATACTTCTACATTCTCCAGAACCTTCCCATGATGTTATATCCCTGCTCAATGATGAGGCTGGCCCAGGGATGTGTCAGAATTATATACAGCAAGCTGATTTCTTTAATGTAGGGGATGGGCCTATGGCACTAAAAGGGGAAATAATTGAGGCAAGTCTCTTTACTGTTCTGTAAATACATGCAACATAACATGCACTGTAGAGGTAAAGGTTTTCCCCTGACATTAAGTCCAGTTGTGTCCGACTCTGGGGGTTGGTGCTCATCTCCATTTCTAAGCTGAAGAGCCGGCATTGTCCGAAGACACCTCCAAGGTCATGTGGCCAGCATGACTACATGGAGCGCCGTTACCTTCCCACCGGAGCAGTATCTATTGATCTACTCACATTTGCATGTTTTCAAAGGACTAGGTTGGCAGAAGCTGGGGCTAACAGCTCATGCCGCTCCCTGGATTCAAATCTGCAACCTTTCAGTCAATTTATAGGTTGCTCTCACTATAGAGTGCAACCTATAAATAGCAGTGCTATAATATACTAGTTAGAGTGTTGGATTATGACTCTAGAGACCATGGAAACCCACTGGGTATGCTTGGCTGAGTGACAAACTCTCAGCTCTAGAAAACCCTCTGACAGGGTTGCCACAAGTTAGAAATAGCTACAAAAAAGGGCTAATCCTTTCTTGCCAGTCAATGAAGGATGGAAAACGTTAAACAGGAATGTCTGAACCAAGGGAGTTGAGCTGCCTCTTGATTTTGCAGGGTGAAGTTCCTTTGAGGATGAATGGCCCAGACATTTGGAGATCCTAATCACAGAGTGATTAGCTTATGCCTCAAAAGCAGCAGGGGATGGGTGAGCTCTCCGGCAGCCCTTCCATGGGTTAATAATGCCTTGGATGATTAGTACTGTAATCCTCATGTATAGGGAGACGGGAGGGGAGGCAATTCAGCTCAATAATCCCCTCATGGCTGGAAACGCTCCTAACTGAACTTTTCCTCCAATGCCTACCTACTTATTTTATCTTTTATACCAAGTTTTTATTTCCTTCTATTCTAGGGAACCTATGGGAGCTTCTTAGGAATATCTCATCCAAGGGCTGACCAGGCCAAGACTCACTTTGGTTTTAACAAAATGACTGCATCTCCTATCCTCAAACTGTTCTCTAGAACCTAAAGATCATTTTAGTACATTAGCCTAATTAGGAGTATGAAGCTGGTCAGACATTTACTTGCTTGTCCAGTCTCCTTTGACACAAGAGAAG